GGAAATGGGAAACGCTGTCTTTTGTGAGAGCTCACATAGTAACGGTGTTTGCTGAAATGAAGGAAGAAGATGATTTACCTCACATCCACACGAGGTGGGATTTGGCACGAGGCCTTAAGAAAAAAGAGGACGAGGCATGAAGTCGGCCAGTATTTATAGTATAGAAAGAATGACCCCAAGTGACAATATGGGAATTAAGTATGAACTAACTCCGACAAGTGACTACGCAAGTGCATGAACGAGAGACGCTGATAGTTTCAAAATTTTGTAATATAGTTTTTGAGGTAATTTTTGCAATATACCCAGATTCATCTATATTCGTTTTTATTTTTATTTTCATCATCTTTGTTTTTAAATATCCCCCTACCAAGAAAGTAGTAAGAACCTGGATGTTACTTTACTGTGGCTAAACTAACGATTAATCGCTAGTTCAGTAACAGCCACAAAAACCTCAACAAGCCCAGTCCGATGAAGTCCTAAAGGACGAAACACGTCACAAATAAACTTTTTTCATTTTGTCTTACATATTACTAGATACTGTTCTTGAAATATAAAAATATATATCGTTTCTTCATATATATATATATATATATATATATATATGTGTGTGTGTGTGTGTGTTTGTGTCTCTCTGTGTGTGTGTGAGTGTGTGCTTATAAAACTCATTAAATTTCAAAATAATTTATTCTAAAATTCGCTTGAAAATGAAACACAACTAGGGACTTTAATTATATAATTTAATTTGAAGTTTTTAGCTCCTTTTTTTAAAACATGGTAATTCCTGTTTAGCGATGGGACCATATTTTTAAATAAGTACATTTATAATAACTATATATATATATATATATATATATATGACTTTTTATGTTTATATTTTCTTTTTTATAAAAAATGTCTTTAAAATAATTGTCGGACATTGTCCATTTCATAATATATATATTATATGTGTGTGTTCGTGCGTGTGTGTGTATGTTGGTGTGTGTGTGTGTGTGTGTGTATTTGAAATTTAAAATTAAAATATATATATATATATAAATATTTTTAAACAAATCTCTCAGTAACTGAAGACACGTGAACCCCATTGTGGAAGACGGGTCACAACATTCAACACGTTAGGCAATGCTCCCGTTTTTGTTTTTTTCGTGGAAAGTACATTATCACGGGATGGATTTGCTAACTCCGTACACAACCTTGTTTTTTATTCAAAAATTTTCTTCTAGATTACTTGACAACCAAGGTTTTAGAACGCTATCTCTCCTATTATTTAACCCGTAGCGGGTGGGCTAAATAATTCGAGAAAACTAGTCCATAGTTATTAGATTTAAATGACACTACCAATTACTAGTTAATGCTATTCATGAAAACTTTAATATTTCATTTTAATAAAAGAAATAAAATAAGCTATGCCTTACCATTCTTACATATTATCTCTCTTAGACTTACTCGAACAAACTGACGTTATTTTTTGCAGCGTCTGTCTTTTGCAGTCATACGTATCTGATAACATTAATTGACTATCAGAATACAGATAAAATTCACGGGACTTTTGAGATTCGTAATCAAATATTGATTATCGAACTGACACGTTTTTATTGCTTTCGTCCTCATGCTTCAAAACTTATCTGATGTGCTTTTTGAAGCTGCTTCTCATATTCTAGTCAGCCGATATTGCCCATGGAGTTTCAAAAATTATATTTTCTATTTTTTATTTTGGTTTTTGTTCTTTGTGAAATATCTACATCCATGAGTAGATCTTTCTGAGAATACAAATTAAATGGCATTAAATACCTTACGATAAGTTAATAAAAAATAATCTCAATTCTTAATTTAATTATGTAATTCATTTTCAAAATATTTTTGCTGTTTCTATCTATAGAGGATTCTTAATTCATAAAACTAATTGCAGTTACCAAGCGCCATTTTGAATTTCATTACGAACCAATATATTTAACTAACATAAACATTATCTATTTCTAATCATTTCGTTTTAAGTCACGACCAATATTTAATTTGTTACTGTTATCACTGTATCATTCTACTAACGAAATTTCCACAACATGATAGCCTGTGTCTATAGTTATTCCACACGTTATTACTCACATAATATTGTTGAGCGCTTATGTTTGCCGGGTGCATCCTGAACTGGTACCTGTCCACCTCTGTAGTTCCTGTCTTTAAGAACACTGTGGAACCATTTGAACCCTCGAATTAAGGCTCTTTTAGTCACCTACCTCTTTTTGGCAAAGTATTCAAGCAGACTTGGAAGTTTAAATATCCGGAAAGCGTTCTGACAGAGGACGGTAAATGCGACACTGAGATCCGTAGACGTATTGAAATGTCCAAGGACAGATTTCAAAAGCTGAGCAGAGTACTGCGAGAAAGTAGGATTTATTTGGGAACAAAAGAAAAAGAATATTGAGCTATTACGGGACATCTCTTCTTTACGGCAGCGAATATCGGATGATTTCCTCAAAGATGAAGAGACTCGAAGCGACACAGAAGTGGTTCTACAGAAGGATGCTAAGGATATCATGGACCGAGCGTGTGAGCAACGATGAGGTCTTAGAGAGGATGCAAACAAGGAGGAGGCTTATACTTAACATCATGAAGAGCCAGCTGAAGTTTTTGGGACACATAAATATGGAAGAAGGGTTTTGGAAAATTTGATACTTACGGTTCAAATAGCGGAAAAGTGAGACAAGGGAAAACAAAGGGTGACATACCTGGCGGACTTATGCAAGTGGATGACAGAACGTCTGGGGGATTTGGCAGTGAGAAGGAACTTGTTAAGAGCTGTAAGGAATGGAGGGGGTGGAGAGTTATGATCGTCTACATACTGAAAGAACACGGCGCAAAGAAAGATTAGAAGTTCTGATAAACTCCGAAATGGTTAAGAATCTTACTTCACACGACCTCCTTTCGGATAAGAAGTAGGGCTCCCGTTTGTCTAAGTCTACCTCCGATGTATCAACTGCCATCACTGAATGTGACTGTCATGCGTTTGATTAGAACGGCAAAGCTAGGCCTGTGCTCCTAGATATAATAAAGGCATTTGACAGGGTTCAGCATGCTGGCCATCTTCACAAATTCAAGGGTTATGGTGTTGTCTGGACGAATATTCGCCTTAATCCAATCTTTACTAGAAAATCGTGTAATGATGATCGTGTTGAAGATCCTTTGATATTAATACAGTGGTCACGCAGAGATCCACCCTCGGACCCGATGATATCAATTCTCAAGTAGATGTTTATTCTGATAACAAAACTATTTACTCCTGTTTTATTAGCACGTTTGACAGATCCAACAATTTAAAACTAGTAACTGCTCTCGGAAAGGACCTCCAGTCAGTTAACTAGGCAAGGAATGACTTGTAAATGTTAACGCCTGCAAAACATATCAGCTTCCATTTAATCATGGCAGTGAACTCTGTTTGCTATCAGTATGGCTGATGCTAAACTCCTGGAGATCAACGCCATTTTGGACTCATGTTTTCCACTGACATGAAGTGGGGTGATTATATCGAATCAATTACTAGGTCTGTTGCTAAGAAAGCTGGTTAGCTGCATCGTACCAGACAATTATAATCTTCGAAATCCCTGTTGAACAATTATGAATTTAATACTTGAAAATTCCTGCCATATCTGGTCTGGTCTACTAACTATATATCTTGAGAATCTTGACAAAATTCCAAGAAAGGTCTGTAATGTTATTGATATTGACCTGGTATCTCGACTTCAGTCAATTTCCCACTGACGATACGTGGGTTTTCCGTGCCATTTCTATAAATATTTTCATGACAATTGTTCTCATGTGGTGTTCTTCTTAGTGCCTCATATGCTACTAGAATGGCATCTAGGTCTTACCGTTTTACTGATGAGTCTATTGCAACCGTCAGTTCTATCCTAATAGATTCTTTTTCTCAAACTTGTGTGACTCCCTTATTATTTCTGGCTTCTTTGTCACCTACAATCTTCAGATTTTTAAATATAACTTCAATCGCCATCTTCTGTCTTTGAACATCCTGTTCTTTTATTGTCCTTTCGCGTCACTTCACATTCCTAATCAACCCTGTAACTCCCCTGCGTGCTAGTGGCATTTTCGCCTTGCTTGGAGGTGAAATAATTATATATATATATATATATATATATATATATATATATAAGGTAAATTGTCAGAGTTGAATCAAACTAGGAAATAGTAGTATTTAAAAGTGCTTAATAGATGAGTGAAAAAAAAAATAGAATGAAAATATAAAATAACATGTAGAACTTCTAACCGCTACCTTAGTTTCAACCTTAGGGTACCCTCAGGCGATTTTTATCAATTCACCTCGCAACGCTTCACTGGGTGTGGCAAGAAGAAGAAGAAGATCGTGGGGGGAAGGGGGTAACTGAATTCTACATACTTTTTTATCCAGCCTCATATGACATTAAGAGGAATTTATTAGTATGTATGCAAGGTCTCATGACTTCGGTTTCTAGTTCGCAAGGTTTTTTTATCCGAAAATGTCATTATTGCTATTTTTTATGTTCGCAGAGGTCGTAAATATTATTATGAGGCCTTTTTAAAAAATTTCCAAGCTAACCATGTACGGAATTTAAAAGAAGCAACCGCAATAATATTTGCAACCTCTGCCAACAGGAATAATTGATAATAATGACATTACATGATCAAAAGAACAGGTTAATGCAAATAATGCTGAAAATATAATTGAATAGAAATAATTGTAATTGATTTGTAAAGTTGATGGACAAAAACGCAAATTATTTTTGACTCGACCTAATAAACTTGTAAGAAGGGCCATTTGCAATTGCATTTACTTTTTTTCATAATTTTAATTTTGTCTATTAAAATTTCAAACGAGTATCTGTCTGTGCCTGTCTTTTAAATTTTACACATCATCGAAATAAATGGTAAAATTTTCAAGACGTCTGTAATCACTTTTTGGTGACACTATATGAGTTATTTCATCCATATTGCTAGAAAATAAGACGGTAAAAATGAAAGATCCTTTGTTTCTGTTTTCTTTTTTTTTCTTCCGTTCCTTCATTTTTTTGGTCGTCTTCTTTATTTTTGGCGTCTTTTTTTGTAGATATTCTCTTTCTTCGTCTCTTCATAATCGTTTCTGATTTTTCTCTTTTCTGCTTTTACTTTCTTCTTTTTCCATTAATCATCTTTTCATTTTTATAATGATACCACTTTATTTTACTTTTCTTATTTTTATTCATCTTCTTTTTCATTTCAGATACTTGGTATTACTTCCTTTTTCTGATTTTTTTTCTGATTTTTCTTTTCATGTTGCCTTTGATTGTCAGTTTTCTTCTTTTTCTTCTTTCATTTTTCCCTTCTTCCCCGTTTTTCTCCGAAGTCTTTTTGCCTTCTCTGTTTTTACTTCTCCAGCCTCTACCTTAATACGTTAGTTCATTTCTTCCATTTTCTATTTATTCTTCTTCTATTTGTTTTCTTTTCTAAATATATTTTCTTTTATTTCTTCTACTTTTTTGTTTCTTCATCATATTTTTCTTTTTTCTTCTTCTGTGTCTTCCTCATCTTCTACTTCTCCCTTTTTTTTCTGATTCTCCTATTATTTCTGTTTTATCTTGTTTCATTTTCTTGTTGCTGTTACTGTGCTTCTCCTCCTCCGCCTCCCCTTCCTTCTTTTTCTTCTCAGTATTATTATTATTATTATTATTATTATCTTCTATTTCTTCATCTTTTTTTTATTTTCATTCTTCATTTTCCCTTTGTTTTTTTCTGCTGCTTCCTTTCTTTGTCTGTTTCTTCCTCTACTTTCTGTTTATTTTCCTCTTTTCCTTCTTTTTCTATTGATAAAATACTAAACTGATTTCAAGGGAATGATATACTGAAATGAAGTTCATTATGTTAAGATACCATTCTAAAAGATCTTGTTGGTTATTTTGAGCAAAATATTTTAGCAGCACAAATAAAGAAATCTGATGGGATTATTTTGCACAAATTCATTATAGAGTTTATTCATTTTCTACTTTTTTTTATCTTAAATTCATTATGGCAAAGTTGTTATCGATATTTCATCCGTAATCATTTGTGCTATTTAATCCTTTACCAATGCTGACGTAAAGTGAGTTTTTACTCGATCAACACTAAGAACAATGCGTACCCATGCTCTGCCTCTGGGCTGAAATAGGCACCTTTTCCATCAGGCGACTGCTGGCGTGTTTCGAATCCAGGTAATTTTTTAAGCAAATAAACTCAACAAGGCGGGGGTGCCACTGGTATGCAAGGGGGCTACAGAGGATGTAAGTAAAGGAGAAGACTGTGTGTGGGGGATTGAGTAAAGGACAAAAAGGAGAAAGGAGATCAAGGCAACGGAAGATGTCGATTGATATTATAGTTAAATGTTTGAAGATTATAGTTATCAGGGAAGCAAGTAAAAGGAAGGGAGTTCCTCTGTCGGGAAGTGTGATTGAAGAAGCTTTTGAAGTGGAAGAGGCAGTTACATTTAAATGTTTGACAGTAAAAAAGATGGGGCCGAGATACCAACCTAGTAACACGCTTAAATTCATGCAGTTTGTGCAGCTGTGAAAATAGCCATGAAAATATTTACAGAAATGTCAGAAGGAAGCCACATTACGCCGGCGAGAAAGTGCTTGGAGTCGAGATCCCAAATCAGGACCGATCACATTGCATATCCGTCTTCGGATTTTGTCGAGAAACTCGAGATGAACAGCAAGAACACCAGGGCATATATGACAACAGTATTGCATATATGAACGAACGGTAGATTTGTAGATGTGAACGATGGACTCAGACGAAAGAAACCTTCTGGCACGACACAGAGATCCAAATTTCTTTAAGGCAGATGTAGTTATTGATTCAATGTAGTTGTTTTACCTCAAGTCAGTGGAAAATCTGAGACCAAGAATGCGCAATGAGGCTGTCTCGTAGATTTTGAGCATCAACCATGTTGATAGAAGGCAGGGACGTTTCTGTATGGTGAGTAAATGACATCAGTTTCGTTTTGAATGCATTAAAATTTACAAGCCATTTCTAGCCCCAGTCAACCATAGATTGGAGGTCGTTTTCGAGACCAACGGCCAGGTTAACCTTGTCGGCAATGTATCATATTATTATTGAGACAGGAGTAAATGGGTATAATAATGGATGTGAAATAATAATAATTGCAAAAACTCATTTTATCTTTATTTTGGGGTTTGTTGTAGTGGTGTTATTTATTTACTAAATTAAAATCAGGATCAATATCTATGTTATCCAGACACTATAAATTTTAAAGCAATCATATGAAAAAAGAAGACTTAGAAAATATGACAGACAAAAGACATACTGAAGGCAAGAAGTACCTTGGGGGAAAAAAGTGAGTAATACAATCTCATGTAAAACAGAACAGTACGAAGGATGGATACTAAAAAAAAAAAAAAAACGATAAGAGTTAAAATGATAGGAAGTAGTGGAGAGCCAAGAAAACCCACGCTCTGGTGGAAAAAGATACAAAAAGAAAGAGACATTATGAAATAAAGCATTTTAAGTCACTTTGTTTATAAAAATGCAAATCAATAAAATAGTAGTCAGACGCATATTTACTAAATGCATTCTGTTTACAATTTCTCACTGTATAAAGTTTTGTCTGTATCATTAATATTCCTCCAAAAAGGAGATTCTGCTGGGAAATATATATTGCAGGAAATAAATGCATCTTTTTGTTAATAACATACTGATTTATTGATGTAATATATGTACGCACACATATGCATATACATACATATGTAAAAATAATGAGATATAAATTAAAAAAATATACCTATAAACACATGAATGGGAATAAAGACATAAGAAAACATGAAAACTTCGACTATTTTGAATAAATAAGGACATAAATAATTGATCAAATTAAATTTATAATAATTACATTAAAAAGCATATATATATATATATATATAGAGAGAGAGAGAGAGAGAGTCCACCCAAACAGTATATTCACACTTCAGCAAAGGAAAAACTAGATATAGTACAGTGTAACCCGGATATAAGAGACCCGGATATAAGAGAAACCCGGATATAAGAGAGATTTTCTCTGGTCCCAAATTAGAGCCTGTGTTGATGTATATAAAATAGACCAAACCCGGATATAAGAGAAACCCGGATATAAGAGACTTTTCTCCGGTCTGGTCCCAAATTTTAGAGTTCCTGTGATATGATGAAACCCTGATATATAAAATTAGAGCCTGTGTTGATGTATATAAAACCCGGATATAAGAGAAACCCGGATATAAGAGACTTCTTCTCCGGTCCCGACAACTCTCTTATATCCGGGTTTCACTGTATATTATTTAATCAAAGTTCCATATACAGTGTAACCCGGATATAAGAGAAACCCGGATATAAGAGAGATTTTCTCTGGTCCCAAATTAGAGCCTGTGTTAATGTATATAAAAAAGACAAAACCCGGATATAAGAAAAACCCGGATATAAGAGAAACCCGGATATAAGAGACTTCTTCTCCGGTCCCGACAACTCTCATATATCCGGGTTACACTTTAGTACTAAATTTATTCAAACATGAGATTAATACAAGTTACTTCGGAGTTTAAAATCACAAGAGATGCTCACAATAGTGGCCTTTAGCTTCCAGTCATTTATTATTACGGCTAATTGTTACTTCGGTAAATCTTCAGAGGGATTGCTGCACATGCATTTTCAATATCTTGTCTAAAAGCAGCCATTTTAGGCCACCCCCATAGGTAAAACTCTGCAGGTGTTAAATATTGTGCTACAGTAAACAGTTATCGTAATTTGATAAAATTATGAAAGACAAGTTTTTCTGTTATGGAGTCCTCCTCTTTTCATATAAGTGGACTCTACCAGTGTTACTTGGACGGCTGCCGTTAAATACCCAGAGTAGACAGTCAGTGAGAGTAATCATAGAGAGAGGATATACGGAGCGAGAGAGAATATACGAACGGAGATAGTGTGAGGTAACCTCTTGTAGAAGTCAGTTACAAGCACGTAGACTCTAAGGAAGTCCTACTTCGAGACTGTATATATCTATCTGTATTTGCTACTAACCGTGTTCCTGGATTTACTAACAGTATTACTCTTTGTATGATTGTGTAAATACATTTTATTTCTTATATTTAATTATTGCGTTTGTCAGTCCTTGGAGACCGAATTCATCTCGGAATCCACAACATTTTCCTTTCCTGAAGTATTTATACATTTTTGATGGAATCTGTATATACAAAAACAAATTAAAACAAAATCCAACAACAATTACGCACTTTCATCTATTAGACATTAAATTATTTCCCTTAGCTTCCTCCATAGCTTACCCTGAGTTAACTCGAATAATATTCATGAGCATTCTTAATTTTAAAATTTTGAAAACTTAACGATACTCTTCTGCATCTGTCTATATTTCTGAGATGTGGTATTTTAACTACTTACACTATTTACATTGTTTGGACTGTTGTCCTCATTTTTATTGTCATTTTCACAAAGTTTCGGTTGTTGCACTCTCCGGCCCTCTTCAGATGATATACGTTGGAATTTCGGACCGAAACCTTTATTTTGTTCACTGGGGTAGATTGTTTTAGTTCCACGTGCCATGCCTTTTCAGTTAATTCTCTTTAGTAACTCAGTTCTCCAAGTTTTTGCTCACCTCTGCTGTGGTCAGGTATTGAACTCACAACGAAATTCCAAAGTATATCACGTGAAGAATGCCGGGACGGACAACGGCCGAAACGTCGTGAATATGAAATTAAAGATGTGGACAACAGTCCGAACAGTATAAATAGTGTAAATAGTTACAATAGCTCAATTCAAAATATAGACACATGTTGAAGGATCGCTACGGACCCGATATACCAAAAATATGGAGACAATTAAAAAAAAAAAGAGTTGTAAATTCTATACTTGACCACAGCAAGAGTGAACCAAAAATTTGAGAATTGTGTTATTAGGGAGAAATATCTGAAACTGAGATATCTAGAAAAGGTATGGCACGTGGAACTAGAAATATCTACCTCAGTAGGGTCAATAAAGTGTTCAGTTCGAAATTCCAACGGATATCACCTGAAATATGCTGGAGTGTACAACTGCCTAAATAATATTATTTAGCCAAGATGCCGATAATTTTTACTTCCCCTCGTCCTGAATATGACAATAATGATGAAAACAATAGTCCGAACAATATAAATAGTGTAAATAGTTAGCATAGCTCATTTCAGAAATATAGACACATGTTGAAGAATCGGTACGGACCCGATATAATAAAAATATGAAGACAAGTAGAAAAAAGTTTTGAGTTCATTACTTGACCACAGAAGTCTGTCGAAACGTCGTGAATATAACAATAAGATAGGACAACATTCCAACAATGTAAATTGTGTAAATATTTTTTCTTCTGTTTATAAATATTTGTTGTAAATCCTTACATTTGTTCTTGATAAAATCCATAAGAAGAAGAAACAGAATTGTTTTTCCTTTTGTCTCTATCTATATAAATGTAAGAGTGTATTTTTAAGTTTTCAGAAAATTTTATAAATCTATTTCGGTTTTATTGACTACGCTATTAAATTATTCTCGATAAGCAATAATAATTTGTAAATAACAGATAAGAATTATAAACACACAAATCACATTTCCTATTTAACTTATTCACTATCAGATTATCTTTGTTGTTGTTATCACAGCGTTTCGGTTGTTGAGCTCTCCTTCCTTCATTAGGTATTTGTCAATTCGTGTAACGTTCATGTATTTTCGAACTGAACACTTTATTGAATCTACGTAGGTAGATTACTATTTTTCAGCTGTACATGTGCAGAGATATCGCGTCTTCTTCTGCCTTAG